CACTGTGTACACTGCCCTCCAAGGAGAGGAATGGGAGACCCTCTGTGCACGGACAGCCTGGCTAGGGAGTCCAGAGGGAAAGGTGGACAGCAAGCTGCAGGAGAAAAGTCAAGGGAGGGTGTTATAATCAAATGCCATTACCCACAAGAGAAGACAGGAGGTTGGAGATGGAACTTGTGTTTTTCATTATTACGAAGGGTGTACTCTTTCTCTGTCTCTCTTGGGACAAAAGGTTTTGCTCCCCTCTTTGTGGTATTAGTACTGTGGCTCTGTCAACCTGCCCATTATTCATTGCAAAATCTACAAAGCCTGAGTTGCCACCAATGCCGCCACACGTCCCTCTTTATTGAGAGAGAATGAATTATTGCAGCTCCAAGCCCTTCCAGTGCGACTCAGTGAACTGTGAGAATTTCTTTGAGTGATAACTTCTGTTTAAATATACCATTCATCTGCTAGGATCTGAAAGTCTCAGTCTTACTTGTTCCTTCTGTTAGCTGCAAAAGCAGGAAACAGAAGTCCATGTTAGCGATGCTAAGATTATTTTCAAAAGCATTTAAATAGGTCAGAAGAGTGAACAAGGGTAGTTTAGACAGTAGCAGTGGGCAGTGCTTTCCCCCTTTCTCAGATTGGGGGACTCTCCCGCATTTCACCTCATGATTTCCTTGCTCTCCTTGACAGTTTGTGGAAAACCTAAGAACCCAGTGGATCAGGTGCAACGCATCATAGGTGGATCACTGGATGCCAAAGGCAGCTTCCCCTGGCAGGCAAAGATGGTTTCCCGCCATAATCTCACCACGGGGGCCACGCTGATCAATGAGAAATGGCTGCTGACCACAGCTAAAAATCTCTTCCTGAATCACACAGCTGATGCAAAAGCCAAGGACATCGCTCCCACGTTAAAGCTCTACGTGGGGAAAAATCAGCTTGTACAGATTGAGAAGGTGGTTCTCCACCCCAACTACTCCACGATAGACATCGGGCTCATCAAACTCAAACATAAGGTTCCTGTCAATGAGAGAGTAATGCCCATTTGCCTACCTTCAAAGGACTATGCGGAAGTGGGGCGTGTGGGTTACGTGTCTGGCTGGGGGCGGAATTCCAACTTCAGGTTTACTGAGCACCTGAAGTACGTCATGCTGCCCGTGGCTGCCCAAGACAAATGTGTGAAGCACTACGAAGGCAGCACGCAACCCGAGAAGAAGGAACAGAAGAGCCCTGTTGGGGTGCAGCCCGTCCTGAATGAACACACCTTCTGTGTGGGCATGTCCAAGTATCAGGAAGACACCTGTTACGGCGATGCTGGCAGCGCCTTTGTCGTGCACGACCAGGATGAGGACACCTGGTATGCGGCCGGGATCCTGAGCTTTGATAAGAGCTGTGCTGTGGCTGAGTATGGAGTATACGTGAAGGTGCCCTCCATCCTGGACTGGGTTCAGAAAACCATAGCCGACAACTAACATGAGGCAGCTGGACATCACTGGCTGAGAGCAAGGTTTCACCCTGGACGAAGGGGAACAGGATGGGAGGGGTGGGAGGAACCTGGTCTGCACTGTGCTCAATCACTAATAAACAGCTTTCTTTTGACTCATTTCTGTGCTGCACTCTGCTCAACCACTAATAAACAGCTTTCTTTTGACTCATTTCTGTGCTGTGGCCTTTTTTATTCTTTCCTTTATGGACAGGGGCAGCCAAGTGGTAGGCAGTTTACTAAGAGTGTAGGGAAAATTCCTCAACCAACTAGAAATCCCTAATGTGATAAAAACTGTCCCACCTTGGCATTCATGCTCACTATTGAGCACTTACTGAATGGCAGGCCTCAGTAAGGTGTTTCTAGTCATCCCTGTTTCATAGGCAAGTAGAGAGAGACTCAGAGAAGGTAAGAGCCTTGATTACGGTTACACAGCAAAGCTTGTATTTTGTCCGATTATAAGCCCTAAGCTCTTCTCACTGCCCCATGTTGCCCCTTTGAAGTGAACTAGGCCTGGTGAGGAGGGTGCGAGCCCAAAGTGGGTTGAGAAGAAAGTGTTTCCACTGAGCCAACCCTTTCTTGTTTGTTCTCCAATGCAGTAGCACCCCAAATACAGAGTAAGAGAGTAATAGAGTGTAAACACCGAACAGAGTAAGAGAGTAATAGAGTGTAAACACAGTGTCTCTGGACTCGTTTGGCCCTAATCCCATCCCAGCCAAGACTCTGTCATGTGCTCCTAGCTCCCTGGCCTTCTGTTTCCTGCATGATGTCTAGAGTCCCTACCAGCATAGACGTTCTAGTCTCCATCAAGAGTGAAGAGTCTTTTTCTCAACAGGAGGTGCTTTTCCCACTTGCAACAAATCCACCCTTTACCAGGGATCAAATGCAAGTTGTCTGAGTCTCCCACTTCCCAGACATAAGGATCTTGCTATTAAGTGTCTCCCTGAAGAAAGGTTCCACACCTCTTGTCAAGAGGAAGCTCTCCTAACGGAACTCTCCTGCTGTAAGCCTTCATCAGTACACTGACTCTCCACCAATACACGTTCTTATCATACCACAATATGGTCTCTGCTTCTTAGGGTGTAAAATGAGACCTGATGCCGATACCCTCAACCAGGTCTAGCTTTCACTGGAAAGTTCTCTTCACATTTACCCTCATGATAATCAAGTTAGAGCTAGTGGTCTATTGCTGGTCACAGACCCTTATGCTATACGCTGTAAAAGAGAGAAAATCCAGAAATGAAAAAACAGTACACTCTTGCACAGTATAAAGAAAATGAACCCCAATCAAAACAAAAATACTCTCAGAATGCTGTCAGTTATGCCTTTTACTCCTGGGAGTGTCTGCAGCACTAGACATGTCCCAGTTTTTCAGAACAATCATCTGCTTGCGTTAAGTGGCTTCTGGTCACTTATCAGGAGGAGAATAGTAAAAATAAAACCTCTGGTATTTTCTCCATTCAGTGATCTTCTCTGCCTTCCTCCCCAGCAGCACCTTCTGCCCCTCACGGTCCCTACCTTTGGGTTTTGGCAACACTGACCGCTGCACAGCTCTCTGAAAGCTCCCTCTGGTCGCCGGCCCCTGTCCTTCTCTCCTGTTGAAAGGTTCTTCCCTTTCTGAGCAAGCACAACCTGCTTTCCTCTGAGCTTTCTTTCCTTGCCCATTAAGTCATTTCTGTCTATGTACTAGTGAGTACAGAACGGGGCATTTAGCACAGACTTAACACTATACTTGCAGCACAGAGCGCAATGAAGGTAAGAACTATAATAAACAATAATCAGGACTTCAGAGAAAGTGCCTGTAGCTAGAGGGAGATATGAGGATTCCACACAGGCCAGTCTGAGGTTTTGCTGGTGTCCGAGCACTTACCATGCATCAATCACTATGTAACAGAAAACCTGACCAAGAGTGACCTAGACAATGAAGACTCTTAGTGTTTTCACAGAAGTCTTGTGGGAGGTGATTTTAGTGTTCACCTAGCAGTTCAATTCCATCATCAGAGAGAAGGCTGGTTTATCTTCCTCCCCAGCTGAGTTGTGTTTTCATCTTGAGGCTCATTGCCTCATGGTGGTAAGATGGCTGCTGCAGTTCCATGTATCATGATTACAATCCCGAGTAGAAATGGGGACTGGAGGTTGGGGGGAGGGGGCAGAGGTGGCTGCAAAGGGTTATGTTCCCTTTTATTCTGGAAGTGACTCCATCTTTCATCAGCAAAGGATCCAAAGCATGTAGCACCCTTCCCTCTGGGCTGTGCTAGCCAGAAGCAGGTCACATGGTTACCTCTTGCTGCAAAACAGACTAGGAAAGGAAGCACTTGGTTAAGAGGGATGGACTTGCAGTGAGAATGCTGCCCTGCACTGGGCTTCTGTTGCCAAGGAGGCCAATGGCTACCATGTTGGCCATACCTGGCCACTGTACTGAGATGGGTTTTCAGAGTCTCCTTCTAGAAAATCAGTAGCAGAGCCTCCATAAAGGTATTCAGACAGGCAAATCCCATCGATGCTATTTCTTTCTAATAGTTCTGACATCCCTTTTAAGTCTTGAGCCCTTTAAATTCAATTTTCTATCTCAGGAAGAGTAGGAAATTCTGTCTTATAGGGAGATCTGCTTTTACTTACCAATCCCAAATCAAACTCACTGCTGTCAAGTCAATTTTGACTCATAGCAACCCTACAGGACAGAGTAAAACTGCCCCATAGGGTTTACAAGGCTCTAAATCTTGAAAGTAGCAGACTGCCACATCTTTCTCCCACGGTGCACAGGGTGGGTTCAAACTGCTGTTCTCCTGAAGTTAGCAGCTGAGCACTTAATCACTATGCCAGGAGCTCTCCATATACTTAGTCAGGGCTTAGCTTAATTCCCGGCTTAGCTCAAGGTCAGTGCTGGATGGTGAAGGCTCAAGTTCTTACTTCTTTGGCAACTGAATAATCTAAAAGCTAATAAAATATGCAAAAGCGTTCACTGTCTGAAAAGTCTGAGCTTCACCATAAACCAGGGGCTCCACAATAAAATGAACTCAACTGCTACTGGTAGAGAATTATTTATTCTGAGCAGGACTAGAGTAATACAGACTGGAGATAGGAAAGCATGAGAACATGAGGAACATGAGTGGGGAAATGGTGAGGAGTATATGTGTATTTGAGACGAAAACAAGTATTTTTGCCCTTATGGGAACTGACTTCCCACTTTATTTGTCTATCTTGTGAGCATGGTTAAATCAAATCATCCCAGCCCATGTTCAGGAGGATCCTATTTTCCCTAAAATGGAAAACACAATACAAAGAGAAGTTAACAAAATCACTCTGCGGAAACCGAACTCTATGACTTGACCGCTCTCAGGTTTGCAGGCAGTAGAAACACAGGTATCCCAGAATGTTAGTAGCCCAGCATGGTCTTCCACTGGGGACCAGGCACTTATAAACAAGTGAAACTTCTTCTCCACTGGGAAGGTCAACACGTTTCCAAAGGACTCTGGGAGGAGTCTGGATTCTGGTGCTGTTTCAAGAGGTGTCATTGTCTTCTGTGTAGTTAAGTGGCTAAATGTCTTGATAGAGAAGGTCATATTTGGGGATATTTTTAGGATCAATAGGGCTTTGGACAATAAGTTTTCCCCTCATTGCGCCTCGATAGATTACTTCAATCAAATCTATGAAGTCTTGTTTGGTTTTGAAACTTCCCACAAACTTAGTGTGATCTGGGGACCTGGACAGCACAACAGAGAAACAACCTCTTTCAGAACTTTTAATATTTACTTCAGGATAAAGACAATGACAGTACCTTTTTAAATTTTCTTCTTGTTAAGGAAAAAGACATAATGTGCAGCGCTGATTTTCCCATTTGTGACTGTAGGGCCAACTGGTAGACAACTAAAACCAGGGCTGAGGGTCACTGGGGAGGGCTGGAGGCTCTGGCATGTGAAAAGCTGCTGCTTCCAAACCCACTTTAAATGCTGCTCAAATCATTATCAATAGAGCTTTCTGAGGATGGGCATGAGCACAATTTGTTTATAGTTGGTGTTATTTTTTGGTACGGCACTGATACAAGCCCATTAACTAGTCATGACTCCCGAGTTCTAGTCACTTACACTATTGAGTGGAAAGTATTATACATACATATATAGATAAATACATACATATATATCTATATATGTATATATACACTTCTTCTAGTATTACAAATACCAGGTCAATATATACACATTTTATACAAGAAAATAAAATCACCAGAGGCTAGAGGTCATATTTTGGTGCATATCCTCCCAATCTTTCTACATATGGATGTACTTGTATTTATATGTATGTATGGTGTATGTATGTGTTTTTCACAATAATGAGAATCATACCATACAGACTGTTTTATAAAGTGCTTTCCTCAACTACCACATTTTTCTCACAGTTGTTAAATAGGTGTCTACAGTATCACGTTAAATTGACACATAGTCTCTGTGGACACCTACGTTCCTTCTAAGCGTTTCCTCAGGAAGCAAGTGAACAACCACACAGCCAATTCTGTCTACTTTCATGATCATGTTTTTCAAAGAAATGCCTATGAATGTAATTTCTGGGTTCAAGAGTTTAAACATTTTTAATATTTTTGCTATGTAGTACCATAAATGGCCCTCCAAAAAGTTAGTACCAAACTAATAATTACATCAACTGTGTTCCAAGAGAATAAATAGCTTGTACCTTAACATAGATAATGACCAAATCAGGTACACAGATCTAGACATGTGGATAATTCAACCAAAGCAAGACACAGTAATACTGGGATGCTGACTGGCTGGAGTGGAGAGCATTCTTTAACAACAGAAGGCTTTGTTGGAAGTACGACTTCAAAATTCTTGGGAGTGGCATTAGACAGTACACTTGGCATGAGAGAAACATGTCTTAGTTTGTTGGAAGGAATATTTCTTTCACAAACACAACCTACCAGTCCCAAAAGCTTAACAGTAATCACAAATTTTGCTTTACATGAAATTCCTAGGAACAATTTTAAAGCTGTTCTATATTTTCTAGCTGAAGGATGTTTAGAGCTTTATAAACTGTACTACTCTTTCATTCTTAAGCAGGAAATTAAAATTTACCAATGATCCCTGAAACACTCATTTCACATGAAAGTTCTACATGAAAAATTAAGAGTGTATCAGTGGAGGAAAACAGGACCAACTCAAGACTTAGAGAACCAAGATCAGACGTAAACAGACAAGCTGCTGAAATTGCTTCAAAGAAACTTCTAAGGTTGCAATAACCTCACTTACCCATAATCCACTTTCATATGCTGCCCATTGAAGAAAAATATAGTAGATGGAATATAACTGATGTCAAAATACTGGGTGTAAACTGGAGTCTGATCCACATCTACCAGGTATATTGTAGCCATTTTACTCAGGTCAGACGAGGTCTTGGAAAGCTGTGAATGAAGAGATGTAGTTACAGTATGAGAGCCAGTGGATGTCGCTTCTGTGAAACTTTTCACTAGGATAGAGTACCTGATTTGAAATGATTCCTGGGCCAAGAATCTAGTCCTTTTGGGTTCCACAGTAGGCTACATTAGACACGGTATAACCTAACTGTCATGGATTGAACTGTGTTCCCCTAAAATTTACGTCAACCGGCTAGGCCATGATTCTCAGTGGTTTAGCAGTGATGTAATGATGTCATGTGGTAGGCATGTAATTATCAACCATGATGTGATCTGATGTGATAAGCCCATCAGGTTTAAGAAGATTAAGAGTGGGATGTAGCACCCTTAGTGTCAACACAGCTCTGATCCCATGTAAGGGGAGCCTGCAACATCTTTTATCTCAGGGTCTGAGGTTCACACTGTCCACTAGTCCCTTGGATTAATTGTTTCCATGTGTCTTTGGTTTTCTTTACTCTTCTTTGCTCCGGATGAGGAGAGACCAACTGCTGCATCTAGATGGCCACCTGCAAACTTTTAAGACCCCAGGTGCTACTTACCAAAGCAGGATGGAGAACAATGTTTTTGTGTAGTATGTTATGCCAATTAAGCTTGATGTCCCCTATCGTGGTTCTGAGCCCACGGGCCCAATAACTTAGTATCTCAGGGTGGTTGGTTGTGGCTGACAAGTTATCCTAACTTTTCCCTCATTAGCCCTATAGCGTAGTGCCTAAGGCACCTGACTGCTAACCAGAAGGCTGGCAGTTCAAACTCATCAGCCACTCCTCGGAAGGAAGGTTGGGCAATCCACTTCTGTAGTGATACCACCTTGGAAACCTAAGGAGGGGTCGCTATGAGTTGGGTTCGACTAGACGGCACATAACAACAAGGACAGAGCACATACAAATACATATATAGAAATATCATCTGCCAAACTTTGTCTCCCTGGTATCTAACAAAGAAAGTTTCCTTCCATATGTAAATCTTTCCTTGACTTTTTATAACAGTGAACTAATAAAATATTTGTCCTTCTGTGTTTATTTCACTGAGCACAGTGGATCACGGGTATATTCCCCAGACATACCTGATCCTTTTAGACTGTCCACCTATGTATCCACCTGTAGATTAATGTTTGTTATTACTGATACTGCAGTGTTGTGCATGTAAAAATGTTTACCTTTGTTGTCTGTGCCTCTTGCATACACTCATTTTTAATCAAAGTGATGAGGATTTTTACAGCTGATGCACACTGTTGGTGGAATGAAAAGTAATGGAGGGAACAGGTCTTAGTGTTGGGGTAAGGCTCTCTCCATAATAAATGGAGATAAGAATAAACCTAGTCTGTTCCATATGTCCCCTCCCTACTCATCAGCGTGTGAGGAGGTGTTGTGAAATCAGAGATTATAACCAGGCACACAGTGGAGGCAGTGATCTAGATTGAAAAGAGTATCTGTAGCGAAATCCAGCTCTGCAACTGAGTAGCTCTGTGACTGTGTGAAGTGACTTGACCTACCCATCCCATGGTATTACTGCCCCATACAGGAAATAGGTCTATTATTACCTCACTGTTGGGAGGACTGAATTAGATGCTCTTAGACACCTGTTAGGAGCTCTGGCATTTGACTGCTAACCAGAAGGAGGGTGGTTCAAACCCACCAGCCGCTCGCTGGAAGGAAGACTGGACAATCTACTTCCACAGAGATACTGTCTTGGAAACCCAAGGAGTGGGTCGCTATGAATTGGGATTCACTCAATGGCAGTGAGTTTGTTTTTTTTTTTGGGAAACACTTGTTATTAATGTTTTCTGCTTGTGTACTGCCTTGTTGGTGGAACTGAAATTTGACAGCAGCTAATAGGGAAGGACATCCAGGACAGACTGCATTACAAATTGGGGGATTCAGCTCAGTGGTAGGAACACCTTCAGTTCTCAGTGTAAATATGCTGATGAATGAACAGCTGTATCCCCAGGCCCTGTCTCCCTTTCATGCATTTTGCAGAGGCTGAAGCCACAATGCAGGACTTTTTAATTTACAAACAAACATTTATTTTAAAAATTCACTTACAATATCATCTAGCTGCAGGCAGACAGGATCCTCATCTCTCCCAAACCTGAGAACCAACACCTTCTCTGCAGTACTTTTGATTGCCTGGTCTACTTCTTTCTTGCTGGTCAGCTTGGGCAGTAGGAAGCTCATCATAAAACAATCCAATTATTAATCCTTACTGTCAATCTTGAAGTTGCTGTGTTTAAAGACGGCTTAGACTGAATGCATGAATCCTAATTAAAAAAAAAAAACTGGAGTAGGTAATTTATTCACATGGTTTAAAAAGAACATTATAGAAACTATGCTGTGAAAAGTCTCCCTCTTGATTTTCCCTGCTCAGGCTCGGTTTCCACTGCCCTATCCCCCTGAACTCTCATGAGGTAATTACTTTTACTAGTTTTATATGTATTTTTAGTGTGCAAATATGTATTCCTATTTTTCTTCCTTTTTTACCCAAAAGATAGCCTATTATATCAGTGTTCCAGCAGGAAACAGATGACACCTTGCAATCTGGTAAATGGAAGACAATGTAATGAAAGCAGAGTATAAGAAAACAAGGTATAGTGCAGAACTCTGGAAGAGAAACAGAACTGTGGGAGGGTGAAGACAGCTGAGCAGACAGCCTCCTGGCACCACAGCTTTCAAAAGGAGGAAGAGGAGGAGGTTTGGAAGCGCATGGAGATCCAGAATATCCTTCACCTACTCTTCTGCATTTTGCATCATTTACCTAACACACAGAGATTTTCGTAAATCTTATATAGAAAAAACTTCCATACTCCTTTTCATAGTTGCACACTATTTCATGCCACACATGCAAATAAGGTGGACAGAACCTGTGATGGCTGGAGTTATGTGTCAACTTGGCTAAGCCATGATTCCCAGTATTGTGTGGTTGTCCTCCATCTCGTAACCTGATGTACTCACCCTCCATTTTGTGATGTGTTATAAATTCTAGCCTCTACGCCTATGGTTATGGACTCATTTGGGAGTGAGCTACCTGTTATGTTAATGAGGCAGGATTAGGGTAGTATGGATCTTGAGTAACCATCTTACTAGAGGGTGTGATTCAAGTCATTACCTTTCACCATCTTACCAAAGTCATGCCCCTGCTTGAGTCATACCTTTTCTCTCATATTTTATGAGACAAAAGGAGAAAGAAGTGAGCAGAATGTGGACCTCATGACCATCAAGAAAGAAAAACAAGGAGTGGAGTGCATCCTTTGGACCCAGGAACCTCCCAGACAGAGGAGACAGAGAGAGAGCTGTAACACCAGAGATGGTAAGTGAATGGCAAGAAGCAGTGGCAGAGAAATAGTGGCAGCAGAGGCAGCAGAACTAGGAGATTGGTAGAAGGCAGCGTGGTGGACTTCCTGAACTAAAGAGCAAGAAAGATGAGGCATGCTGGTGGAGTGGGGTGCCTCTGGGCACTTATTGGCTGAGCTAAAAAGTGTTGTAACACTTTCCTGAGCAGGGCAGAGGCTGGGCCAGCCCAAGAGGTCCAAGGGGCTGAGGGCCAGAGAGAGACCTGTCTGCAGGCACAGCTAAGAAGCAGCTGACTTGACTGAAGACCTGTACCCTGAGTAATTTTTGATCTTGAATTGTTACCTGTTTCTTCCTTAATAAACCCTCATATTAGAGGGAATAATCCAAAAACACTTGGGTTTGTGGAAGGCTGTGCTTTACAATTATAGCACTAACTCCATTTTGAATCTTGACACAAGCTCAGAATCCATTGGAATTCTGTATGTGACTTTCCCAATGCTTGTTGCCAATTAAACTAACAATGCAGCTACGCTTATACAAGTCCTGGCAAACTCAGGGAGGGGCAGCTTGCCCTCAGAATGCAGAAAAGTACTGACACAAACAACTTGTGTGGGCATATCCCCCTTACAATAAAGAATAGGGAATATGCCTGGACATGTCCTTAATGATTTACTGTGATCTGGAGATTGGAGACCCCAAAATGTTTGGCCAGAGTAAGAAAAAGCCAGGATGAGTTCCAGTTCCCCTTCCCCTCTTCTGATGTGAAGGAGAAAACGGCACAGCAGATTTCACTACTTGTTGCCCGTGTTACCTGATTTAAGTTAAAGGTTGAACTCCTGGTACTATCTGGTGACTATGACTCAGGGTCATATGATCATGACTCGACCCCAACTACCATGTAGTCAGGTAAGTAAAATGCAAACACCAATCCTGTAACTTTTTAACCTGCAATTACGTACATATCCCAATCATGGTCCTTTCCCCGCTTTTGCAGTCCCACCTGCAACAGTGATGAACTGACCCACCACCAGTCATGACCCCATGTCAATTTTGTTCTTCTTCTATAGTATATAATGGACACCATGACTGTGATTCAGCAGATCCACTGACCTCTGTTCTAGGTATATACTGACAGTTTCTCGCACTCGACAGTCTTTGTCCAGCTTAAGGCTTAATAAAAGGGTCTCTATAAAATATTTTTGAGTCTAATGTCATTTTTCCTAGCACACCCCATAATCATGAGTATTGTTATGAGTTCTGTTTGGCCACTGTAACAAATTATCCAACTCAGCAGAGGAAGAGAGAGTGCTGTGGGAGGGCCAGATGGTGTCACAATTGGTAAAACAACTGGAGGGTGGAGGCATGTCTGACCTCCACCTCATAGGAATCAGCCTCTGCCTGACACTGCTAATGCTGATCCTTCTCCCCCCTCGTGAAGTCAGATGAGGATGTCAGATGCCTCCTCCAACATGTCATTTTACACACACAGTAAAATACTGAGATAGAAAAATCTTAACACACTCCTTCATTTTACAGACTAGTTTGCTTACGGTTATACTTCTAGCTACTACAACAACAAGGGCTAGAATCTAACCCACCAAATTTCTACTGTGGTGCTCCTTCTAATACATAAACTCCTACTTTCACTACTGAAGAAATTTCATTTCAGAGAAACTTCTTATCAAGGACTTTTCTTCTTTGGGTCCATCCATGAGAGAGCCCACTGGGATCTAGTTGATATTCTGAATTTGGTTACAAAGTTAGCTAATGCTAGGAAAAAAGTGATGATTTCTTTCTCTGCATTTTTCAGTGCTGTGTCATATCCTAAGGTATGAATTAATAAAAATTCATACACAAACGAAAACTGTTCCAACAACAGACTGTACTTTAAACAGGGAACCTGATGGTCAACCTGATGGGAATTCACAAACGGCAGGTGTCACAACAAATTACTGATGAAAGAGAAAGTCAAAGAGAAGATGAATCTCTTTTACCACTAGAATTCAAACAAAGAGCCAAGTTTGCTATACAACTGCTAAAGAAACGGAAGTGAGGGGGGAGGCAAAGAGGTCAAGAGAGGCCAGGGGTGAAAGTGGACAAATGGTGGAAGGAGAGGGGAACTGAGACCACATCTACAAAAATGTCCAGAGGAAAAGATCCAAAAAAAAAAAAAAAAAACAAAAAAAAAACCCAACCAAACTCACTGCTGTTGAGTCATTTTCTGACTTAGAGACACCTCCTTGGGTTTCCTAGGCCGTATCTCTACAGAAGTGATTGCCCAGTCTTCCTTCTGAGGAGTGGCTGGTGGGTTTGAACCACTAGCCTTCTGGTTAGCAATCAGATGTCTTAGGTACTATGTCACCAGAGCTCCCAAAGCAAAGGATACCAAAAAGGAATTCACAAGAGGTACAAATGGCCAATTAGTAAGCCTCAAAAGTTAAACTTTACTGTAATTAAATAAAAGCAAATTAAAGATAACTTCAAATATCCAATAAATTCACCCAGATTAAACAAGACGGTAATATACAACAATTAAACCAAGTGTGAATGTTGGGGCTGGCATTTATAATCCTGGCTGGAATATAAAGAGGCAACATTTCTCGGTTAGGAAAGCTGACCAACAATTCCATTAAAAAAAAATTAACAGGAAATAATCACATACATGCGTAAAGATGTGTAACGTGTACTCATTGCATCTATATTGTTGAAAAATTGGAAACAACCTAAACAGTCATCAAGAGGGGTCTGGTGACATAAATGAGCATACAGTACTGCAATGGGCCATTACACAGCCACTCGATACTGTGTTAGAGATGTACAATTAAGATATTGAAAAATTCTCATGATATATGACTCAAAAAAGTTACAGTATCTGAAGTGTTAACCGAATTTTATACAAAACCTCAGTGTAACTGTACATACTTACACAGAAAAATACCCCTAAACACCAAATCAACAAAACCAAACTAAACACCATCACTGGTTATTTCTGGATTTGGAAAGACGGGTGATTTTTATTTACTTCGGGATGCGCCTCTGTCTTTTTCAAGTATTCCACAATAATCACGTATTATGAGAAAAATATGTGGTAACTGTTTAAAAGACGCCCGTGGTTGGAGCATTCCTGGTCTACAATTGTCAGAGTAGCCGATACTTACTTTAATTGTACAAGTCACCTTCTTTCCTCTCACTTCAGGGCTGTCTGCAAACGCGACTCTTTGTCACAAGAGCTGGGACAGAAGCGGTGCCCTTCACAAGCCCCAGTTTAGACAGCGACCACAATCTCAGGTAACAGGAGATACTTCCACAGCCGCCCGCGGGGGACTACTTCCGGGAAAGAAACGGAAGTAGAAAACGCACAGGCGCAGTAATCAACGATCGGTCGCTGGTCACTGTCCACTAGGCCAACGAGGTTTCTCTAGTGACAGCCACATTGCCGTCTCTAACCGGAAACCTTAGAGACACTTCCGCCCATATTAAATATGACCCATCTTCCTTCCCCCCCCCCCACCTCCCAGGCCTTTTCAAACTAGAGGCGGGGGTGTGGCCTCTTAGAATAAGCACGATTGGCTCGGGAGATACCCGAAAGCGTCTCTGATAGGGCCCTAGAAAAGGACACTCTAGCCTTGCCAGCGGCGTTGCGCTCTGTCTCACGCTTAGATCCAGGAACCGCCCTTTTCCGGCTGCTCTCGATAGTATTTTTGGGCGGATAGAGGAGGCCTCGCAAGGTACTATGGGCATAAGAATGGCCGCTTTCAAGGTTCGGATTTTGGCTCTTTGAGGCCGCCTGAGCGAAAGGTGGCAGCGCCGGCGTCCTAGAATCCCGGACCGTAGGGTCCAGAGAGTGGGGCTCGGTGCGGTGAGTTCTTCCTCCCTGACGGCGTCAG